AATAATAATAATAATAATAATAATAATAATAATAATAATAATAATAAACAGAGAGAGAGAGAGAGAGAAGGAAAGGAAACAGAGAGAAAGGTTAAATTTATTTATAAAAAAATAAATAAAGCATCAAAATGCATACATATGCAAACTTACAAAACAAGAACCTTTACAGTAAAATTTTCTTTTGTATCAGAATTTTTGAACTCTAACAATTTTTAGATATTCCGTTTACCATATAAATGATATTTATGATACCATTTACAATACTAAATGCAGTTTCGGGAAAATTTAAGACATGCTCATACTGTCTCAGAGTTTTTTTGCTTTTAAAAAGGATAATTAAGATGTAGAAATTTAAGACCCATGAAATTATACTGAAGGAACTGGGAATGTTTAGCCATGAGAAAAGGAGATGAGGTGGGTTGGAGGTTATTATATCACTCTAAACAGTAAAACAATAATATACAGAAGGTTAAATCTGATTCTACATCATTCTGGAGTCCAGAACAAGTATCAATGGATTAAAGTTATATAAAAGAAGATTCCAGCTGAATCTGCTTCAAATGGCAAGAGTAGTTTGATTGATCTGCTTTAATTTGGATCCTTGCACTGGGCAGAGGATCAACCTTAATGGTTTAATTAGCCACATCTAGATTTTATGAAATTTGTTTAAAATATTTATATGTAGTGCTGTGCAACACTTCTGATTTCCAAAAAATGCTTCAGAAGGCTATATACTATTGCTAAACATTTATTTAGAACCCATTTAATCTCATTAGTTGAGCTGGGGTATTTCCAGACAGATGACTACTATTGCTAATACATTTTTCTTGTTCTTCTAAGTCATAAACAGAATTGCAAGTGTCTGTCAGTATTATATAAATACATCCCATTTCTTACATGCTTATTTTACAGGTTTATAAGCTTCTTTAGTTCTGTTCATAATCCCATTATGCATAAACTAGATTAAAACAACTAAGAAAAACTGATCAAAAAAACCACATTACAAGGTAAAATATTTCTATGATGAGGAACTATAAAAACCCATATAGGTTATTTGTTGTTATATTCTGTCTCTGCCAGCATATTTCCTATTCTTCAGTTGCTGTATGAACAAATGCCAGCATTCTTGTAAGAAACATCTATTTCAGAGTTACTGGGTCTGGATGTTATGCAATTGGAAATTTTTCTCTTGACAAATGTTGATAAAAATTTCATTGAGAACAGAATAGGAGGGTCTCAGGTATTTGTAGATAGAGTCAATACATTCCTTTTAATTAGTTCTTTAATCTTGCAATTATTTTATATGAATATTTCAATGTATTTTCAAAAGAGGTTTTCTATCCTGAATGGGAAAAATAAAAATCACCCCTTCTACCTTGAACTTTGAAGGTTTTTGGCCTCTAATGGGGACATATAAATATTCCTCAGACAAGTTTCTTCCTTTGTCCAAAGATTTGTGTTCTTAGGAGTCAGCATGCCATCATTGTGTGTGGATATTTGTCAGATTAAAAGAAATGAATTTCATGAATTTTCAACCCAAAACTAAGTCAAAGAGTAAGGGACAGAATGAGCAAGTTTACTTTCTAGCCAGGATAAAGAACCATCAGAACATTCACAGAACAATCTCCTATTACTGAGCTCTACATATGTACAAAAGCAAAGGCCTGCAAAACCATCATCAACATTGTGCTTGTAGGGTAGCAATGTGAGTACAGAAAATAGCAGTGTGAGTACAGAAATATTTTTATTAGTATCTTCCATATACAATGGAATAAATTAATATATTCCACTTACAAAATGCTTTAATAGGAAGACCCTTTAGATCTTTCAATAGATTGTTTTGCCTATTCAGTCCAGATTGTGGCTTCCATCCAGTCTATATAGATTTTGCATGAAGAAAATGAATTACATTCTGAGATTCTCATTTTCCCAAGAATATTCCACAGCTTGACCTGGTTGATATAATTTAAGACTTTTCTATAGTTAATAAAGGAGATACTGACTTCTTAATTATCCAACAAACATCAATAATAATATTCTTCTTTTTTTTTACAAAGAATGTAAACACCTGGCATCTCCTTTCTATATCAGCATGATCCTATTCATAATTTTGCTAGCATGTGAAATAGTGTGATACTTTGAACTCTTTGTTAAAATGGTGTCCTTTTTTGACATTGGTTTTACTGTTCTTCTCAGATATGCTAGCTAGCTATTTTTGGGTTGCTTGCCATGATTCTATAGATTCCTGTACCCTTGTAATTTAGTAATGACTAGAATGCTGATCTGAGTTCATTTTCTAATTCTTCTAAATAGATCTTCTCTTCTGATACCCATCTTCCCAAAGCATACTGCTATACTGCTGCTGCCCAATATAGATGCCTGGTAAATATCTGGGATGAACTACAAGCCTTGGGTGATTTCTGGAAGTACATATTTTTTGCATAGACTCATTCAGATGTTTCATAATTAATAATGTGCATCTAACTCTAAAAAATGAAGCAATTCTAACGTGGCACATTTTATTAGAGAAAATATTTGTTAACATATTGAGGCTGTAACAAATCTACATTGTTGCAGCTGTTTTAATTACTGGATAAGTATCTTTCTTGCTAACAAGATCATGTATGAGGAAATGGTTAATTGAGGTGCTACAGAATATGCAAGTAGAAGTTCATACATGAATATATGCATGAATGCATCATGTACGTATATACCTTGTAACAACATACAAAAGCAGCCACTGAAATTTCTCAGTTCTGGGAGGAAAATATGCATTCCTTTATCTATTATTTCATAACTGCTCAATGGGAAGAATACCAGCAACTACTCAGACAATAAAATAATTGGAGAAGACAGAAATTAAATTATGATTTCCTTGGGGCTTGATGACCACATATAGAGAAGCTGAAGGTAGCTATCTAAGACTTTCTACTAATTTCATCTGGAGATCTAATTTAGAGGTTTTTAACTTTAAAATATTCAGGATGAATATTTAATGGAATTTCATCTTTTTATGTCATTTTTTCTGTTTGCCATTGGCCCCTTGAGAAATCAAGGCAGGCTAAAATCATTTTCTGTTTTTGAGCCATAGAAAACAAATGAAAAAGGTGGAGGTGGAGGTGGTGGTGGAGGAGGAGGAGGAGGATTAAAGTTTTCTCAATGACTCTGGTCAACTTATGAAAAGCACATGGGAAAATATAAAAAGTAAGTCATATTGAATATTTTAAAGTTGAAAACCTCTAAATTAAATCTTTAGTCCCTGCTTGCTTCCTGCTTCTCCTGCTCCCACACCTGCAATGACCCAGAAGGCAACAGATGTTCTTCAAGGGCATCTCTTGCCTTTCCCAAGTGCACTGAATGCAAACAATGCATGCAAGATGTTAAAAGTAGGGAAACTAAACTATTAGAAGTGAATCTTCAGTGGCACCAACTTTTTTGCATTTCACAACCTCCTGATTATAAAGTGCAACGGGACATAGACAGTTATGAATTTAGTTATTTATATCTACACTTGCTGTTTAAACTGTTCTGGCCTTGCAGTCATAGTTGCATGAGTTCTCACTTAATAACCTGTGTGGTCCTGGGGGTTACAATGGCAACTGGGACTGCCAGGATTGTTGTCACTAAACAATACCCTACCCGACTCTGTAGTCTCTTCCCCAAACCCCAAAAACTTTAACCTTAGACTGTCTACCATTGACCTCACCCCTTTCCTAAGAGGTCTGTAGGGGGCGTGCATAAGCGCACCAACGTGCCTACCGTCCCTGTCCTATTGTTTCTCTATTCTTTTATTTTTCTTATATGTACCCATCTCATGTATTCACAACTATGTATACACGTATACTTATTATCTTGTAAACAATTGACAAATCAAATAAATAAATAAATAAATAAAATAAATTTGGTCATATGACATTGTATTTTATAACATCACTTAGTGATGGAAATTCTGCTCCAATTGCCCTCACAACCCAAGGACTAGTTTAATTATATTCAGATTAGACAGCAAGCTACTACATCATCCATTGGACAATTCTCTTGCTGCTGTGCCTTTCTACCTTTCTCTTCCAGGAAAGCAATGGATAATCACTTTTTCCTCTTGTGAGTTGACACATATACTTTGTGGTGTTTGTGTATGTATATGCACATATGTTTGTGTGTGTGTGTGTATTTGGCACATGAAGCACACATATAGGTGTATGCACTTGCACAATATTAACTTTATATATACAAAGACAGAGCATCAAGATACACAGACATGTTTCCATACAAAATATGGACTGACGCAATGTATATAAACCACTTTATTAGCATAATTATTTGACAATTTTACATTTCATTTTTGGTTTTCATGGAAAGGAGCAAAGAGCTTTTGGTCTTTAATTCTCCTGTTTAGGCTTCTGAAATTGATCACTACTTTTCCCAACCAATGTTTGCATTCCATGGTGTCTATGCCTACTTTTATTAAGACTAAAGATATTTTACTTCTTCTAGTTACTAATTCTTGAGCTTGTGTAGTGTGATTGTCCAGCCTATACTAAATAACTTGATCTCAGTTTATAAAACATATGAGTACAGAGGAAAATCTTTTATTACCTTCTTCTAGAAGTCTGTTTGTTACACTAGGTCACTTGATTTTTGTGTGACAATACTCTAGAACAATTGAAAGAACTTCAGATCAAATAGAGAAGCACATAATTAGCACAGCAAGGATATCTTCATTCACTGGGACGAGTGACAAACAAATTTAATAGATAAAATAAACTTACATCTACCAACAGTTTTGCTACTATGAGTGAATCAACTGCTACATTAGACAGTTAACTTCTTTAGTATGACTTCCTGACAAAAAAGAGGAATAAAATAGCAGGAAATGGCTAATGGCTGATATCAGGCATTCAGGGTGTGAGATGAAGAATTTGATAAGTACACTCTACATACCAATAATAGGTTGGTTTTCTATTATAGCAATTTGTTTTACCATAATTTTCTCAACATTTAAAGAGAATGAGTGTCATTTGCAAAGAATGGTAATAAAATACCCAGCTATAGACAAAGAAAACAAAGCTCACAAGTCTTCAAGCAACCAATATTGTGCCTAGAAATATAAATGAGCAATCTTCATCTTTTATCTTTCCATTTAGTATAACAAAAACTGATATTCTTTTAAACATAGTAATTTAAAAACAAGGTTTCAGATGCAGGTGGCAGCATCTGGCCAACTTTGCCTGGCATTTGGAAGTTCACCAGAGTTGGACCTGCTTAATAATTGGATGGGACACTTCCCGGTAATATTAGTGTTGTAGGCTAGACTGGAAACTTCTTTACCTTTTACTGAGAAATAGAAAGTGGAGGACATTACAGTTTTTCAACAACACTGAATTGTTTATTGTCAGGGATATCTTAATGAACTCACCTCTCCTCCAGTGCAGGGGAAATGGCTGGAGTATCTTGAAGTGCAAAGTGCCTCTTTCTTAGTTACATCATCATCCAACCCAAAGGCTGCTGAGCAGTTGATGGAAAAATACTTATAAGGTTTCCAAGTTTTTCCAAAATCCTGAGATCGCTCTAGGACCATGGCTGCTGGTCTCGGTGACTTGAATATCATGATCAAATGAGTGAAATAAAATTCAGCTTCCAAATTGAGCTGGATCTTCTCCCTTTGTATTCCTTGTGCGGATTGCCACCATGTGTGTGGTAATCTAAAAGATGAATCAACCATAGCAGAAGGTGGATGAGCCAGATGCATATTCATAGAGTTGCATTTGCTACACTTAGGCCGCTTGCATAGGAGGTCTGCATTTTCACTGTAAGAACAGTATAATTCTGTGGAGTTGTATCCACATGTTGTATCTGTCCACAATTTACGTCCATGACCCAGGTTTCCCATTTGAGGATTGCATGCCTTCTCACAGCGAGACCCAGTTCCAAGGATACTATTCAGTCCTAAATAAGAAAAAAAAGGCTTCAATGAAACTCCTCATATGTATCCAATCCATACATTTATCAAAGAAGAGGGGGGGGGAGAAAAAAGGAGCAGACACAATGGGGGAATTATTTGTTGAAATAAGATGGGATTTGCAAGATATAAAGGAAATCATGAAAATGAAACTGGAAATGGGTAACAATTTATTACAGAAGTTAGAAATGGCGATTCAGCTTGCAAAGGAACAAAGAGAACCAGAGGGGGAGGAGTCAAACAAAGAGGAAGCCAGCTTTGAAGATCAAGTGGAACAACGATCATTTAAGCGGGGGGTGGGGGAATAATTAAAATTAAAAATCTGTGGTCCTGATGTGATAATGAAAGGGGGAATGGTTCGGAAAATGAAAAAAAGGAAAGGGAAAAAGCAGAAAAGGGAAGTGCAGAAGAAAGACCAAGAGAGGGAGGGAGATAAATTAAATAATTGGAATGAGAAATGGAGGGGAATAATAATGGGAAAAAAGGGAATTAAGAGAAAGGACCAGAAAATAAAGAGAAATAGGAAGCAAACAAGAATGAAAAGGAATTATATTGTTAGGAGAGTGAGAGATAATGGGTAAAAAAAAAAGGATAGGGAAGGTGATTCCGCAAGGTAATATGTTGTGATATATAAGAATAAGTATTGAAAATAGATAAGATTGTAACTGATATCAGTTTTTTAAATTTCTTTTATTTCTTCTTTTTAACTAAAGGATTATCGCTACATTAGATATGGAACTTAATGAAATAAATGGGAATTTATAATAAGAATATTATATATTAATTGATGATCAGTGATGCATAAAATATGAGAATTATTATGGAAAGATTTATCAGTTGCTATAATTAACTGATTATATTAATATTTTTGCAATGTATAAATGACTTATAAGGTGATCAAGAAAATGTTACGCAGAATCTGATATAAAATATGTGTATGTGTGATATGTAGTAAATAGGGAAATATTGTTATTAAAGTAGAATGAGGGTGGTTAGCTTGAATTATTAACCAAAGGGGACAATTTTAAGAATTAATAGAATAAAGATTGATAAAATTGCAAATGTGACAGATAAAGGCAATATGGGAAATGAATATAGAAGTGAGACAAGAATTTTAGATAACACTGTAAAATAAGATATGAGAATATCCTAAGAAAAATTAAATAAGTTATAATATGAACTGAGATTGGATAAAATAAGTCTAAGGAATTTAATATTAACAAGGAGTACTGGGATATGAAATTGAATAAGTAAAATGAATAGGTAACTACGGTCATGTTTGTACTGAGATGTGAAACCTGAAACCAAACTGCTTGCCAAATAAGAATTTTTATTTAAAATAAAAAATAGGAGAGGAAATTGAATAATGAAATTACTAGGCATGTTTAAATGATATGGTGGTTGGCACTAGGAGAGAGTACTGAAATGTTGAAAATAATCAATGAAGGATTATGATTTAATGTGAATATGTTTATTAAGAGACATGATTGGTATTATTAATTTTGCTTATACTAAAATGTATGATGTACTGATGCCACACTGTTTATGTATTGTTGTGTATGTGTAGATTGAAACAAAAAAACTTGATTAAAAATATGTATCCAATCCACAGTGAGATATTGAGTTTGTTTTCTTACAAAATACAAAATACAGTAAGAAAACATAGTTAAATAAACAATGGATCCATTATACTCTCAATCTCAGACCAGCTCCATTGTATATCTAGATAGATAATAATACTCAACTATTTTATAAGGCTGTTTTAAGGAATATTGTGATAATTTTTGTTAAAAACATTGACCATTTATATCAAATGCTTTTACTAAGAAATGAATTTGTACAAAACTCTTGAAATACTCAATTTCATGGTAACTAAATTAATTCCAAGCAGGTCTTCTTTTACAGGATTGCTCAGTTATAATACGTTTTATAAAGTTGTACAACACATACTTTTCATGTTCAAATATTAACATCACTAAGTACAAATCTCTTCTGCCAGAAACCTTGAAGGACCCCTGCCAGTCAGTGACAATTATTTGGGAAAGAATGGATTACTGGCTCAGTATAAAGCAACTACTTAAGTTCTCGTGCAAGTCTAAACATTACAAAATGATATACTGCGCATTACCAAGAAATTACTAAAAATTGTTAAATGGAAGATCATTATTAAATACATGTCAAGAATACATAGATAATAATATTATTGTCTGTTTTATGCCTAAGGCATCCCTTTTTCTTTTCTTTTTGACTCATGAAATGTATTTCAAAGTTTTCTGTTTACATAAACACTCAATAAAAACAAATTTAAAATAGGAGGGTAAGATCAATAGTTAACAGCAAATGTATGCATACTATTTTCAGAGGCTGTCTACTCCAGCCATTTCTTCTTCTGCTCTGTTCATCCTATCACTTTTTGCTTAAACAATGGAATGTTCATATGCAATAAATTATGCTTATTTCTCAGAAAAAAACATGGTTAGGATCAAGGTTGATTTTTTTACTTTGAAAGGAAAAATTGTCCTATCTTAGATGCAGACAGCATGCTTAAGCCTACAAAAGTAAATAAGTACACCAGTAAAAGTCACATTATAATATCCAACTCTTTTCAAAGTGCTGTACAAACATTAACTAATCTATATAGGTCTCCTGAGAAGTAAGGAAATATTTTCAAAGTGTGTTATCACTCACAATTGCCATAAATTGCCTCAGTTAACATGCTGGCTGTTAAATTATTCACTTTCATTATGCTACATAGGCCCTTTACCTACTATATAATCAGGTTTCCTGTAGCAATTTGATGTCTATGGAGATTTTCAGTTACCCATGGTCGTAATAAAGGCAATTGGGCTTCCTTTGTTTTTTTCTTGAAGATGTTTTGCTTCTCATCCAAGAAGAAAGAGAAGTGAAATGTCTTCAAGGGAAAAACAAAGTCTAGTTGCTTTTTGAAAAAGCATCTTTGGGTAGCAGCTTAATCTATTCCATTTATTTGCAATCTAGCAAAGGAAAAATCAGAAGCATAAAAAATTTACCTTAGAGAAAATAAGTAATCTTATGTATATCCTATGAGTTAAAATACATTGTCTTTTTTGAAAAAGTTTCCCTTGCCTTTTAAACTCAAATGTCTAGTCCATACAGGATTAGATAAAATACTGAAAACATGCAAAATTAGGCTTATGCTTCATGAGTCTTGGTCAACACTCTTTAGAAAAATAGGCAGCGGGAAATTCGCAATCAAAGGAAGAAATCAGGAGAGCAAACAGGGATAAGAGCTTTGTCAGAGAATTTAGCAGGAGAGGAAGAAGCTGGCTTGAGATACTGTCAAAAGGATGGCATCAGTGGCATCAGTGGAGCAATGAGAACTTGGAAGCTGTGTGCTGTGTTTACCAGAAAATTATGCTAATTACCTCTGTGGCAAACAATAGCATTTCTCCTTGCAGAAGGAAAGGGTGAAAGAACTGGAGGCTAGCCATTCTTTTTCATACACATCAGGGATTGTGACAATCACAGCAGAACTGCACAAACAGCTTTCCACAAAGGCTGACAGAATGAGGCCTTTAAGGAGGAGGGCACAGGAAGTCATCTCGAGACAAGGTCAATAAGAGAGCAGCACAAGAAGGAAGAAAGCACTTCAGGGGAGGGCTGAGAATTTGGAGGATTGTGGCAAGAACAGTGGGGTGAACATGATGGTCCTCCAAACCAAGGAGTTGATCAAAGAATGCAAACATGGAAGCCAAGCACCATCTACCTGAGAAAGTTCTATTATTCCAGCCTCTCCAGCTCTGGTCAACAAAACCAAGAAACCCAATTGAAACCTCCACTAAGGAGGAAAAGAAGTGCAGTGATGGTAGTGGTGAAAAAAATCACTAGTATACCAGATATAAGGAGCCATAGTAAGGGGAACTCCATGTTGGTGCACAAATTCAGAATATGAAGGAAAGATTACCAAGACTCATCAATCTGATCACGATCCATTCCTGCTTATCCATGTGTGGTTAACCAATGTTGCTAAAAGAGGGTTGTAAAAAATAAAAAAACTAGGGTAAAAAGATGAAGCTATATGGATTGTAGGAAGTGTTGTCAAGGAACAATAAAGGAAATAAAATCTTGGGGGTGAAATCCTGGGGCTATGAAAATGGTGTTGTCAAGAAAGATTTGGATTCTTAAACCATGGTCTTCAGCAGTAAAAGATACTCTCAGTGATGTGGTGAAGTGCACCTCATAAAAACAGGAGGCAATTATTTTGCGAAGAATCTTGTGAATTTTATGCCAGTAAAGTTCTTGTGTCTCCTGATAAGATGCGCACAGGGCCATAGTGTTAAAAAAGAAACAAAAGCCAGTTGTTCTTAATTCAGAAGATCCTTAAAACAAATATAAAATTGAAACATTTTCTTTCAGGACTTTGGATAAACAACTTGAGAAAAAGTGGAACTTTGTTACTGCATATGTTGACTGTGGCTTATAGGCACACAAATGGAAATACACATCATTTCCACAATGGAAGATGTGACGGAGAAAGCGATGGAACTGGCAGAGATGGCAAAACTTGCTTTAATTAAAGAAAATAACTTATCCAGTTTTGTTTCTACTTGGAAACTGCTTCTGGACTTTATGCTCAAACAAAAAATGAAATGTTGATCTTATGCTTTGATGATTAGATTATTTTATTGTTATATAAATGGCTAGTACTTACTAATATGTAAAGCAAAAAAGTTGAGGTTGTAACTGTATTTTATATTCCACTGTACTGAAAAAGTTTTAAGTCACTGCTTTTTTTCTTTCCCTTTTACTTTGCATCTTTCCCCCTTCTCTTCCTTCCTTTCCCAGTTCCATTAATATCTGTTTCTATCTGTATTTTATATAATAAACTTCAATTAAAAAAGAAAAATCTAATCAGCTAATCACAACATTATGAAAAACATTTTTGACATCAGTTCCCTATTTTACTTACTGCTTTTATATTTCTCCTTTTTTTTTCTTCCTCTCTCAGTCCAAAGTTTATTGTCAAGCTGCACTTTGTTAGATTTCAATCCTGTGTTAATGCAAGAGTTCGAGGAAGTGTACATATTCCTTTGTCTTCTTTTCCTCACAACAGTCCTGTGAGGGTGGACTGATTATTCATACACCATACAGGACTGAAATCTGTAGTATCAGACAAGACCCTGCATGAGGTAATACTGTAAAAGGATTTAGAGCTGATCTTGGGAAAGATATGAAGGAGCCATTAAGCCTGAAAGAAAGGAGTAAGCCATTAAGGAGAGTCTTTGACAAGAGATTATGCAGTCCAGAGATAGAAAGATGCATGAAAAAGAAACTCAGAATAACCCCACCTTGATTTTGTTTTGTATAAACAAAAAGAAAAGAGAGAAAAATTTGGACAGGATTTCCAGATTGATGCCAACCCTTTGAAGTAGGCCAGGGGAAGAAATACTTTATTGTTGTAAGGTATATTAACAGAATCTTGAAAACCTGTCCAAAGTTTTCTCTCAAAGGAAAACCCAAGGTGGAATTAGTATGAGTTTCTTTTTTCATGCTTCCTAGTTTCAGGACAGTGTAGTCCAAGTCCCTTAATTAATCCTTGCTGCACTTTTTCTATATTACATTGCCTGGTCTGAATATAAATAATGTAGCTGCATTAACAGCTTTTTTTTTTTATTCCTCAAATCTATATGAGCTATTTTCCACTATTTAAAGTAAAAATGCCAGCATGTGGCATTCATGGAATGGATATCAGTGCAAAAGTATAGTCCTCGGGTATAAATATTCAGAAGGAAAATCAATGTACAATGTACAAAGAATGCCAGTAGATCACAATAATCTCTAATTTGTTCATTGCAACTAATGATAATCAGAGAAAACAACTGTCACACACATTCCAAAGAGTAATTCTCTGTAATGTCTTGAAATCATGCCACTGGAATTACCTTAAGTATCTTTTTTCTGCTTTAAACAATTGTACTATTTACTTAATGTGTAAAGAATGAAGTAGTAAGTAGTAAGTAAATTCTGTCATCCTACATTCCACATAGGTATGCTAGTTAGTCTTTCTTTAATTCCACTTAAATGACACATTACACATTTTTGTTGATTCTGAGGAACTAATAAGGCCCGTTTAGGATCCAGGGCTATATGTTTAGTTCTGTGTACAGTATACTTTCTATAGAAATACTCTTTATTTTCTGAGTGCATATATTGTTGCACTCTGCCAGTGAATGAACTAATAAGATCAACAGTTCTGCATACCTTTTTTGGACAGGCCTTGTGCCTTTGAGTAAGTGTTGATCTGTTCTTGCAGTTTTCTTGGCAAGGGGTTTCAGAAGTGATTTGCCATTGCTTTCTTCCTAGGGTTGAGAGAGAGCGACTGGCCCAAGGTCACCCAGATAGCTTTGTGCCTAAGACAGGACTAGAATTCATGGTCTCAGTTTCTAGCCTGGTGCCTTAATCACTATACCAAACTGGCTCTCCCTGAACACCCATTACAATAGAATACCCACTATTCCACTATTTTTCAAGTGAGGAAGGAAAGCTGCAATATTATAACAAAATTCATTTATAATCGGCGATTGTAAAATTCCATTTCCTTAAGGTTATGATAATCATACGCAAAAACGTAGTATATTATCTGCCGAATAGTTTTAAGAAATTCGTCTTTCTCTCTTGCGCAGCTCCAGCCCTTTAATGATTTTCTTCTAATCTCACGGAACCACTACCATCGTTTAGTTTAGAAAGCGAATTTAATCTCGTTTATTTACAATACAAGCACCTCTGCTCTGCGTTCAGTCGAAGGAGGAACTCTGCGAGTGACAGGGGACATTGCTCAGCTTCTGTCCCAAGCAGGGTAGGGAACCGTGCGGGAGAAGCACCCCAGAGTCAACCGCGCGCCAACCTCCCCCGCGAGGAACCGTTTCTAAAAGCGTCTCTTCTCCAACTATCAGCAGACCTGCGGGGGGGAAGAGCTACTACACCCAGCACTCCCGCGGGCTCCGAGACACCCACCTGCAGAGCAGCCCAGCAACACGAGGTGCCAGAAGGGACTCCCCATGGCGGAGCGCGGGGCACCGAGCAGGCATGCAGTCCTGTGGGCGCGAACCCTCTCGAACTGGGCGCCGCTAAGGACGACAGGCAGGCTCCCTCGCCACAGGCCCCCACAGGGCGACGGCCCGAGGACCGTTTGAGCCAACCCGAACGGCATGTGCAACCGCGGGCATCTTTTTCGCTCCTAGTCGTAGCCGATCACCGCCAGCTCTGCTCCCTCGTCGCCTTTGCCGCCACCTATTTCTCCCCGCTGGGGGATCCCCGGCCAGGTGCATGAAGAAGCGGCGCCGATCCTCCTATCCCGCCCCTCCGGCTCGTCTCCTCGTCCCGAGTGACAGCCTGAGAGGGGAGTGGCGGCGGCTGAGGCTGAGGCTCATACTAGAGCGGCGGCGGCGGCGGCGGCGGCGCCCCAGGACGAAGAGAAGGGCCGGCTCCAGCTGCTCCCACCCCTCCCGTCTGTCTTGGGGAATAGTGGAGACCGCCTTTCTCGTCCTCCGCTCGCCTGGTCGCCCCCGGTGCCTTCCTTCCTTCCCCACCCAGCCGGCCTCGGCCCTCCAGGGGGCCTGGTACTGTGGTAAGCAAAGACCGGGCTGCCCCCTGACCCAGCGCCGCCCTCCCGGCTCTCTTCTCGCGGCATTCCTCAAACCCACTGACTTTTGTCCGCTGTCACTTCGCGGCACGCCAAGGTGCTTCAGCCGGGCGGTCGGCAAGGAGAAGGGAGAGGATTTCTCCGCTTCTTTCCTCGCTTCTTCTTCTTCTTTTTTAGCCTTATCACCCCGCTGCCTTCTTCCCTCCCAGCTTACCTCGGAGGGCGACTGACCTCCTTACCCCGCAGTCACCGCGGCCATCTTCCCTGGAAGGTACTTCTTGCCTTGACACAATAGAAAAAAAGGCCACCTGGGCCGCCTTCTTTTTCTTTCTCTGATTGCTTCCTGCACCATCTTCCTAATCCACTTTTTAAAAAAAAATAATCAAAAATTAAACCAATGTCTCCAGTCCAGATATTAAAGACGGAGTGTGCAGACTTGACTGCATTGGCCATGAATGCTGTCCATTGCTCATTTTACACATATTAAGTCTTCAGAAAACAATATTTGTATTTATTAATTAAATTTGTACAGCTACACATCTCCCCAAAAGCAGCTCTGGTGGCACACAGTAATTAAAAGATAAAAAGATTTCCCCTGTACTGTCCCATTCTAGGGAGCCATGCTCAGCTCTGTTTCCTAGTCAAGGAAGCCAGTGTTGTCAGAAGATGCTTCAGTGGTTTGGCATGACTATAAGCTGAGACACAGAACATTGTTACTTTCCTACTGAAATTGACCTATTTATCTCCTTGCATTTGCATGCTTTCAAACTGCTAAGTTCAAGAGGTGGAGCAGGATTGGGAGCCCATGCTTGGGTCTTGAACTGCCAACCTTCTGGTTGACAAGCCCAGCATCTTAATCACTAAGCTACTTTGCTCCTGTACAACAATTCAATTCCACTAAAATAAGGTTTTGATATATATTTTTTTTGCTTTTATTATGAAAACATTTTATTCACTGGATTCACAAGCTGTAAACTGCAATAGTCTCAGAAGGAACTCATTAAAAAAAAAAAGCAAGCTGATTAGGTTTGTCCAATCAAAGCTGGAGTATTGTAGAAACTTGTTCCAGCTTTGCTTATGTCTGAAGCAGGGCTGTGTTTGCTTAGGAGCAAGGGTTGATAGCCAATAGCAATAGCCAACTGCAAAAAGATAATCTGCCAAAGACATGGTGTGACTGCTGAATGTCCTCCACCCACTGGCAACTTCTAGCATGACATGTAATAGTAGACCCATTCTCTTTGGATTATCTGTAGTGTACAATATTTGTTAATAAAGTTCAGAATTTTCTCCACTTATTTTAATTGTCAAGCCTTTTTAAAATAAGAAACACAGGGGCAGCTGGATTAGACTGCTAGCTAAGTATGTTTAGCTAGGGCTTGATCAGTGCTTGGTGCTGTGCCATAGTGCTCCTGTAGTAAACATACAAATTACTTTTGCCGTATTATAGCTTTTGGACCCTTTTAGTACCCATTGCAGATTACAAATATTTTTAGTCTGCTTGTATTCATATATCTACAGTTTGCAGACAGAATATTTATGAGATCATTGCTCAGCTTGAATTACCTGATAACTCAACATAGAAAACAGCAGCCCAACCTACCTGAAATAGGCAGATCACTTTGGCAAATTATGGCATCATTTCAATGGTGGCAGGTCAGGGCTTCCATGGAGTGAAGGGCTTGTTTTTATCTCTTACGACTCTTTTGCATCTGGAGATTTAAAATTGGCAGAAGGGAGTAAAACTGTAGGTGCAGAATACTTCTTCAAATGGTCCTTTTTGGTGGTAGTGAGGAGCATATTATGTTCTTTTGTTGTTGCTGGTTTTGGATGATGTTGTTGTGGACAGAGAATAGCTTGATTGCAGCTGCTGTAATGATTAAATTCCAATGGAAATGAAATGCTACAACCTAGCAGAGATGTTGGAGGCAGGGGAGATAATGAGAAATCCCCCCATGGAAAACAAGCCCAATCATAATAATGTTAGCCACCACCCCTTTTCAAGAAAAGGACTTGGCATCATATCCAAAAGCCAAGGAAAAGAAGGAGTACGCTTCATATCCAAAGTTATTCTATAGTGCAGAGAAACAACCAATCTGGGCCTCTAATGGTCATTGTCTGGACTTGGCACCATCCCTGCCCCTTTGACAAACTGGTGCAATCCAGACAGGATTTTTAAATGTTGCCTTATCTCAATGTTTCTGAAGCAACTTTAAAAAATTCCTGTCTGGATTGTACTAATTTGTCAAAGGGGCAGGGTGGGTCTGAGTCCAGACAACAACCACTGCAGGCTCTGATTGGTTGTGCCCCTGCTCCTTGCCTTTCACGTCCATGAGGGGAAAGGAAAGCCTCATTCTCTGTTTTAGTGTGTGCACGCGTGTGTGTGTGTATCTGTATGTGCTAGTTTACCAGTACCTGCCTTTTCCTTCAAAACCTTTTTGCTGGTTCCCCATTTTTTTTTCATTCACTTTCCCAGATATTTGACCACTTAGATGCCTTCACACTCCCTTCCCATAATCTCTCCTTTGATACTAATGCACCCTCCGCCCTCACTGTATTATTGATTCTTTGGTATTGCCATGATTAAAACAAAGGACAAATGCTTGTTTCTTGGTCTCTTTATTACACCTTGGGACAATTGAAACATTGTAGTAAGCAAGAACTGATAGTTCAGATAAGAACAAGGAGCATTTAGGGGTACTTTGTAACTTGATTTCAACATGCACATGTTGCAACTTAAAGATAAGAAGGGAAAAAGGGGAGGGGAAGGGAGGGGACGATTAGATGGGGCACAAAGAAAAGAGTACACTTTGCCCAGCTTGGAGAGAAACTGAAAGAATGTCCATTAGGAGATGCCAGGGTGGAATGAAGGTGTGCTGGGTGAAGAGGTGGAGAAAACATGGTAGCCTGAAGATTTACTGCCCTTCGTGGTCCTTATGGGTCATCCCTGGGGTAACTGGAATATATAAAGATAAAGGAAGCTGCTGACCAGTTGAGAACATAGCAATTCAGCAACCTGGGATGAAACAGCCATACTATAATCAGGTGCTAGAAATATGGGCATGCCAGATACTGTAGCCAGTTGAAATTGAGGATGTTCCTAGACTGGAATGAACCTTGAGACAGAAGGCCTTAAGACAGCTTAGTTTGGGAAATAGTATGGCTGAGGCAAAGCAAAGTTTCAAAATGCAGGCAGGAGCATGTACTGTGGCCTGGAAATGGGTGGAAGAGAATGATATCTATTCCTGCTTTCAAAAAATGACAGTTAGCCCATTCTGGCAACTGGGCAAACAGAAAATGTTGCCTGGACTAGCTACGGATTTGGCAGCAGATAGAATATTCTACTGGTGGACAAAGGGAACAACAGTTGGAGTTCTGAAGTGTTTAGGAAAGAATGTTTAATTTTTTAAAAAAACAAATGTATACTTACTTTTTACTTTTCTATTAGGGTGATTTAAATTATTAAACATTTTATTATAATAATTAAAAGTGGACAGTGGCGTTTATTTTTTAACTACAAGCCTGACCAAAGTTCACTATTTAATATATTGGTGTCTGTATAAGTATGTAGCATTCTTGTTATAATTTAACAGGATGTCTTTGCATGGGGTGCAATTATTCAAATTCTTTTAGCCATCTGAATTTGTGTCATGTGTTTGGCTTGGTATGGTCAATTTTTTGGGGGGAGGGGTGTCAATTTTCTTCCCATTTTTTTCCAGTGAAGTTCCACTGCAATGTATGCATGTATGTATAATCCTCATTTAATGACCACAGTTGGGACTGGCAACTCCATCACTGAGTGACAAGATCATTAAGACTTCATGTGACCACTGGTTTGCTATCAATTTCTCCATTGACTCTGCCTGTTGAAACCTGTTGTAAAGCATGTAAATGGCAATTGTATCACTATAGGACACTGTGATGTTTCTATATGTTTACTAGTTGCAAAGTGCACAAACCTTGATCACATGATAGCAGGGATGCTTCAACAGTTGTAAGTGTGAAGACTCGTAAAGTTGTTTTTTCAAACAGTTGCTAAAAAGGCAGTCGTTAAGCAAGGAGTAACTGTTTGAATGTATTCAATATGTATGGCCACCCATCTCAAATCCATGACCCATCTCAAATCCATGACTTTGTATGGCTAACAACATATATCGAGCAAAAAAGGAACAACCAACAACTAATTAACATAACCATTATGCAGCTTCTGCTATAGATCCAGATCACCAAACTGAGTAAAAAACTGCATCTTACACAATACTACCAGATTTAGGCCAATCTAATCTTGGAGCGGGGGGAGAGGGGGATTAATGTTCCAAAGAATAAGTACCATAACAGAAAATGCTATCTTCCTGGGTCCTGCCAGATGACACACTCTGCTTGTATTAGCTTCTTGATATTCATCAAGGGCAGCCCCATGTAAAGCAAATTGCAATAGTCCTTTTGGGAGGTAAATAAGACAAGCATGACTATCAGAAGTCTTCTTGTCCAGGAGTGGCCACAATTGGTACACATAAAAGTGTGCAAAAGTCCTCCTGACCACGCCTGCCACCTCAAAACAAGAGCCTTGAGTTCTGGAGGACTTCCAAATTTCACATTTATTCTGTTTGGGATAGTGCAATTCCATCCAGAACTAAAGATGGAAAGTGCCTGAAACCATGGAGGCCCTTATACTCAAAAGTAATTCAGTATTACAAGGGTTGAGTTGAAGTCTATTGTTCTCCATTCAAATCCT